CGCCCTACGCTACTCTAGTTAGCTCACCTGGTCCGAAGGTAAATTTTGTCCATTTCTTTTTTTTTGCCTTTTCGGCAGCATCATGCCAGACAAATTGTGGAAAAGGAAATGCCCTTGATCCTTATTTAAGGTCAAAGGGGTCAAATTTGTTAAAACACTCGAACAATTTCTTCAATGTCATGTTGAATAGCTTTTTTATCCGTGTTTTAACAGAGTTATTGCCCTCTACACTTCATTCCATCTGTGACATCCCTTCAGGTGTCACCCCACTAGTAATAAATTGTAGAACTTTATAAAACGTGTTGTCATTCATTGACCTGTAGCCAGCTGAAGTTAAGTCAAGACAGAACCACAGAATTGACGAAAGAAAATCACTAAACGAGGGCAAAACTTTTACGCTGGTGCCGTGAACCAGCTCTGTGTAATCTGTTCTTGATTCCAATTATATGGCAATGGCTTCGGGTCGGTGTGGACAAAACACTACTATAATAATGGAACATGAGTAGGCGGATAACGATAGTCGTAATGGTAAGCCGTCCGCACACGGTGTAGTAGGGGGTCATAAGCCACTTACAATGTCAGCTTTGCCCCAGAACTAGATAAACCCCCTTGTCGACCAAAATCTCCAATTCGAGAGGATATAGATCAACAGAATAATACCCCGGTACGTCCACGGACCTCAGATATGCAGTACACGCCACAGTCTAGTCGGCACGTGCACGATAGGTCAAGGCCACAATTTGTGTATTCAACTAATAAGGGGTCGTCTCCAAACGGTTCTCGCTCATACCCAGTAGATATTGAGTCCGGCAGGGGTGGGCACGAAAGGCAATTCGTAACTAGTACCCCTTACCTTAGTTATACCCAAGAGCATCCAGAATGCTGTTGACCACCATTTCCTAATTTGAATTTCTCTAATGTAACTACAGCTGTGGGATCGCACAACGTTACACGATGTGCGGTGTGCGCACGATGTGTGCACGGTGTGTGAACGGTGTGTGCACGATGGGCGAACGATAAAAAGCTGAACGATCATTGCTTGCGCACATATGTGCGCACGATGGACGGACGTTGTGCGATAACAATCGTGGTTGGTGTAAATTGAGGAATGCCTTAACAATTTATACGGTTTCTTGTTAAACATATAAACTTGATGTTTACGTATGTTTCTATATTCTAGCAACATCTATAAACTTATCTTTCTGTCTATAAATTCTTATATTTAGGAATTGTGTTTTCTGTGTTTTTAAACAAACTTAATCGACACATGTAAAATTACAACACAACCCCGTATACAGGTAAACATAACCATTGTGTACATGTACCTGGACCGTAGTTTTCTCCCCGCCTGGGGCATTTACGTAACTCGTCGGGTAAGGCCGGGGGTGTGAAAATCCAGGTGAAGGGGAGCTATATATAGGTAAACGAATGCAAATAACAAATCCTTTTTATTACGGTCAAACGGTATCGCATATCAGCTCTGTGTGTCAGGCACTGGTCAGGTAAAACTCCGGACACTCATAAAATTGTTATTTACCTGTTCTGTTACCTTGGAGCCAAACCCATTCTTGACAGCCTAACGGTCACTGTAATACTGTGTAATACGCATTGTGAAATTGTATAATCTTGATTATTGGGATGAGAAATTACAGATATATACACAGTGTACATTATCGCATACAAGCCTTCCTTATTTTTGTCATTCCGTAATTTTGATCTACAAACGATACCAAATCGCACAGTTGTGCGGAGAGAAGCGCACAACGGGGCGAACGATTGCTAAATCGCACAGTTGTGCGCACCATGTGTGGATGATGTGCGGACGGTGTGTGAACGATGTATGCACGGTGTGCGCACGCCATTTTTGGTGCGTTGTGCGGTCCCACAACTGTAGTTCAAATACAAATCATTTAGATCATATTAGACCACAAATGGGCTTTAGTTATTTGTTGGTAGCACAGACTTTTGGGAGTTTAGTATTCATTTCGAGCAAGTAGCAGAGTGGAATAGATGGACTGATTGGGAAAAAGCGCAACAACTAGAGATGTCTTTATCTGATGCCACGCCGAGGTGTTACCCCGAGGAGGAGCAGGAGCTGCGGAGGGAGGCAAAACTATCCAGATACCTGGAGGCTGAGGGAAACGCGGCCATGGATTTGGGAAGAACGGCCACAGTTTCCCGGGATCAGGAGGTCACACCTGACGGGATGATTCGCGATAGTGCGCGATGGTATCGGAACGCGGACACCCCACAGGATGTAGACTTCTCCCTATTTCCAGAGCACACAGAATGAACTTATTTTTTTACAAGTGTGTGAGGGGGGGTGGACAAATTNTTTTACATGTACTTGTAAATATTCAATGTACATTGACATCATTACTCTTTCTGTTATAATTTTTCATGTTTCTAGGAATTATTTTTGGTATTAAGTTGCTGTTCACATTTCTAGCATGTGTAGTAAGGAGCGTGGGAAATGCTGTCCACTTATGTGGAGGGGTAATGTGTATTTTTGGTGAGGAATGGAGATAAATCGGAATTGATTTTGTTTTTCATGTGCTGTTACTTTAGCGTAAGCAGCCGAATACTTAAGTTTTTGGGGCTGATCACAGTTCACCTGCTGTGTATAACACTACATGTTAAGATAAATATCAGGGTCTTATACAGAAGACAAGGTCCGAGGGATAATTCCATAACCAAGAAATATACATGTAGGTCTTTGGATCTAGAGCATTTGGCTTGTGGGCTGCACATCTGGTAATATTTGTGACTGTTTTTTTTTCTATGATAATGTTGTTTTTTCTATGATAAAAGTGTTTACCTATAAGTGCACTTTTAATGTGGGTTGATTAACAGGTATTAAGTGTCGTGTAAGTGGGTTTCTGTGACCTCAGAACAAACTGAATACTGCAAAATTCTGTTCCTTTTCTAGTAGTAGTAGAGGAATAGCTATCCTCTTCAAAAACACATTTCAATTTGACATCGTGAAAGAAATTAAAGACACTAGTGGTAATTTTTTAATACTTGAGATTAAATTATTTGATCGAAATATAATTTTGGCTGCAATATATAGCCCAAACGAAGATAGTCCGTCCTTCTTTGAGAATATCCAACGAAAACTTGAAACACTAAATAATAACTCTATCATTATATGTGGAGATTGGAATGTTCCACAGAACTATAACTTAGACACGGTTAATAACAAAAATAAAAATAATACAAAGAGTCGAGCTATAATTCTGGATATGATGTCAACATTAGATATTTTAGATATATGGAGAGAGTCTAACCCAGATACAAAACGATGTACATGGCGGGGTCCACATAAAAAACAGGCACGTCTAGATTATTTTCTGATATCTTCCGATTTAGTATCTTGTGTTTCAAATACAGACATTGGGGTAAGTTATAGATCTGATCACACTCCAGTTTCTGTTTCTTTTAAATTTATTGAACAGCAGAGAGGAAAAGGTACCTGGAAATTTAACAATACTTTACTGCGCGATGCTAATTATGTACAAAAGGTAAAACAGTGTATTGTGGAAACATTGAATCAATATAGATTACCGGATGAACAAAATAACACTATATATTCAATTGACGACCAACTTTTATGGGAAACTATTAA